ACCCGAATCCACATCACCAGAATCATCGTCTCCTCCTGTGACTTCTCATACTGCCCCTAAACAAATAATTAAAGATGATGATGACGATGATATTATTGATGCAACTACCGCAGCTACCATCATAGCTACTGCTGCTGCTGCTACTACTACTACTAAAAAAGATAAAAACAACAAAAAAGATGTTGTTAATCCCTCATCAACCTATTCTTCAACACCTACTACCAAAACATCAAAATCAACCACTTCTGCTTCCTCAACAACCTATTCTTCAACACCTGTTACCATGATATCAAAATCAATTACTTCTACCACATCAAAAGATTCCAAGATCCCTACCCCTTCATCCCCCAACACAACTACAAAAAGTTACAGTCCATCATCGCCTGTTATAAGTAAAGTCACTACAGAAGAATCTTCAAAACTACCAACCTCCCCCTCATCAAGTAATAAAACTATTTCATTTTCAGCGCCCACTTCCACAACTAAAAGTACTAAATCAAAATCAAAAAAAGTTATTCAACCTCAAGGACATACTAAGACAACAATCAAAAAAACTAATAATGACGACAATAATAAATTAGCAAAAGGTGGAAACTAAAATCACTTTCTCTGAATGATTATCAAAATGAACGAAACAAACCTGCACGTGATAAAGACTTTTTATTCTTTTTACAACTGCCCAAACTACAATTTCGAACTTCCGATGGACTCTGGGATCGTGGATGGGCCCAACGGAAAGAATACTTTAGGCCATTTGCTGGTAGAGCATATGTTTATGCTATTGTAGGCCCATTTAATATCAATACTGCAACTTACACAGAGCTCATGACAATTGATGATATTGGTGAAGGCTGAGTGTACACAATTCTCAAAAAGCGACCATTTAAAAACCTTGAAGATGCAAAAACGAAAATAGGTGTACCAGAAAAGGTATTGGAAAGATTAAAATTTCTAGAGGTGACAGATTAATTTAATTACCATACATTAATTAACAATTATTGATTTCTTTCTATTAGTATGTAATTCTGCTTCATCCCAATCATCTAATTACGGTTCTTTTAGATAATTTTGTTTCTAAATGAACTTTATAACTTAGATGTCCAAAGTATTGATCATCCAGCAACAAGTTCTGGTGGAAATGGATACTGGGAATTATTAAAAAACGATCCTTTCTAGTTTATCATTACAATTATGAAAAAAAAAATTTTTTGACGAATTAATGTATATTACATTTGATCAACCAATAAAAATTGGCATAAATCACATGATATGTTCGTAGAGTTCTCTCTATAACGGCCCGCCTGATTTGGCAAAAAAAGGCCGTTAT